ACAACGTAAATGTCGTCAAGGTAAGCAAAAACCGCCTCGCCTTCATGCAACTGCTCGTTGACAGCAGCGAGGGCGGGGTGTTGAGCAATGGCACAAAGAGCCGGCATGAGCGGGTCGCCTTGCTCGCCTCCCTCAGCTTGCCGAATCTCGTATGTGTCGCCCTGAGCGTCCTGCCAGACGTATATGCTGTCGGAGGCATAGAACTGTCGCGCGAATGGCAACAAGGGCTGTAGGCTTGGTCTGTGCATCAAACCAGCGAGCATCGCGTGACGGGAGACGTGATCAAACGCCCCAACAGCGTCGATGGACAGCACCGTCGCCCGTGGGTCCATTTCGGTGGCAACACGCAGGAGACGGACGAGTGCCTCTGTGCCTGCCCGGGTGCTGAGGCCATACTGAAATGGCATGCAGGCGGCTTGGAGCTCGGACGCGTACTCCTGTGCAAGGGTGCGTCCGACGAGGCGGCGTAGCACATCTCCGACTACGAAGGCCCGTGCACGCCCGTTAGGCTTGCGGAGAGCGACTATACGGCCAGCTCGAATGGCAGGGAGGACGGGCGCCGGCACGTCTGCACGTGCAAGTCGCTTGGCAGCACCGTGCAAGAGCGTGCAGTCCGCTTCCTCGTGTAGCAGGATGCGCAGATGCTCGTTGGTTATGCCTGACGGCCCAGCAGCAGTGCCTCGTCTGGCGTTTCGCAAGCAAGTGAGGAACGGCTGCAAGGGCAGTGCGCACTCTTCTGCCGGCCTAAAGTCGAGCAGCGCCGGATCGGGGGGCGCGTAGGGCTCCTGCGGCCGATTAGCCGGGTCACAAAGCTCGCGGAGGGTGTCGGGAGAGCCAGGCGCAAGAGGCTCGGTGACAAGGACCTGGCCGACCTAGAAGGGCCGAGCCTTGCCGCTGCGCCGCTGAGCCGGCCCCAACACGGGACCGACAGAAGCCAGACCTAGACACAACTGCCGAGGGAAAAAATGCCGGGCGCTCGGTCCGTCCTCGGGTGTGGCGTGCCATCTCGCGTATCCAGGCTCACGAAGGGCGCCAGTGGCCAAAACATTTATATCACGTCTAGGGCGTGTTTGCTAACGACACATGGATGTTCACATGCCATAGCATGACGTTGCCGACCAGCCGGGCCTCGGCTACTCGGACAAACGGGCGCGAACCAACCACGCAGCGTGCAGGTCGCGTGCTTGTGATGCCGCCTTAGCAAAGAAACTGGATATAGTCTTCGTGATAGTATGTGATAGCCTCGGCCGATACTGACCCATCGCCCCTGATCGCCGCCCTCCACGATTGCAGCCTGCACGATGCACTGGAATTTGCACCGGGATGACCCTAACACTCTTTGCGCACGTTAAACAATCCAGGAGCACGGGGTGGACATTTGGCACGGGTGACAAGCCGCAGCCAGAGCGAGACAAACTGTATAAGGCGAACGCGGTTATGCGATTATGTGATATTTCGTGGGGATTTTGCAGCATCTACTATTCTGCGTCCCGCCGCGTGAGCCCTTGCAGACTGCGCATTCACGACCACGGTTTTTGTGGGACAGGGTGGGCGGTCCCGGGCTGGCAGATCCCAAAGCACACCGCAGTTCTACGTACTGTTCTACGTGCTACACCCACGTATACCCTCGGCATCCCTCGGCAACCTCGTGTCTAGCGGTCCTAGTCGGTGCATCCTGGCTCTGAGCTCGCATCCGAGCTGACGGACCTGACCTTGTCGCATTGTGGGGGACATGGCGGGCCAGGGTCGCACACGACTTCATGCACTCGAGGGTCATCTCGCAGCGTGCCACATCATAGATGCACCGCTGCATGTCGTATTTCTTCACTTCTTATCGAGCCGCCTCTGCGAAAATGCTGTGGCCAACAGTGTTGGGGCAGTGAAACCTTTGCTGCCTTGAAAGATGCTACCGCATCCCTGCAAGTTGCAGGCTTCGAGGCCATATCGAGGCCACCACATGGGATAACGTGCTCACTGCAGCGCCCCGCTCCGCCCGGAGACGACCCGAAAAACACGTCGGTGGCATGCAGCGCCAAGCAACCGACCCTTGCACGCTAATCAAAGGGGTATCCCGTGGCAAACCCATAGCTTGTCAGCTCGTTCTGTGCCATGAGAAGAAGAAGCTTTGTTGGGGCGAAAGATTCAGGAGATGACCGTTCGCGAACCATGACAGATGCCATACGGCATATGCTTTGAACATATGTTACATTGTATATGGTGTGCGGGTGGTTCTGGCTCGAGCACAAGAAAGATGTTTCGCCATACTTGGGTGAGAAATGGGCATGGGTGTCTGTGAGGCGGGAAGGGATGCCACACCGCCCACTTTTGTTGGAATGACATTGGTTTCGGAGCCGTCGGAGGTAAACGGATTGACCGGTTTTTCGTTCGCCTGTGATTGCTGCTTTGACCTCCTGGTGCTTTGCACGTCGTCGTAGATTCGTGGATATTTCGATGCAACATGCAAACACTGATCAGAAGCAAGTGCCATTGTCAGCTCCAACAGGGGCTGCGCCCGTGTTCCTGCAGGCTTGTGCGCAGCGTCCACCCATGGATTCCGATGTGCTGCCGCAATCCCGTGTGCTTGAGCCGAATGTCAGATGCAATCGTGCCAGCTTGCTAATGATGTTTACAAGCAACATGCTTTGCCCGATGCAGGCTTGCGAAGACCCTCCTGATGCCCCCACTCCTGTGCGTCAGGCGCGGAATGTGAGGTACTCGTGACTGTTGTTCCTTCGGTTTGCTGCGGGTTCCGTTCGTGCGTGGCTTTTGTGTGATGTTTTGGTTGCGTACTGTGACATGGACCAGGAAAAACTCAGAGAGGCCCCATCTCTCCAGCGACCCCGGCACTCCGAGATGGCCGGGTGCTGATGCAGTTGAAGCAACGCATGCAGGGCAGGTTGAAATGCCTTGGCAAGCAGAGCTCGCGCCAAGAAAATCAAAACTTAAATAGGTTCAGGCGACAGGCAAACAACTGTCCCGTGTGTTGGAGGCCAGTGCCTCGCTCTCGCAGCAGCCTGGTTCGTTCCAGGCACACTTTTCACGAGTTGGCGCCAATGATCACAACCGATTCGTGCAGTGTCAGGTTAAATCCGAAGCAGCTGTGGAAAGGCGTCGCAACGAAGAGCAGCGCGAACGCAGGCAGAGCCGTGCCGCGGAGATCTGTAGTCGGATCGGGTTGGGTGTTTTGGCATTGAGATTGTACTTCCAGTCATTCCATTCAGGCTTTTGCGGGAGCAAGCAGCTTCCGCACAGACCGTCCAGGCACGGGACTATCCTTTTTCGTATGCCTTAAGTGCCATGTTGGCTTGATGCAGCCGTGGCTTTGCAATTCGAAATCATGTGCTGTAGAGATGCCGCAAGTGCTTGGTATCAGACCGGTTGCGGTTAAGTTTGTCGGCATAAGCATGCCGCAGGCAGCTCCGGAAGAGAAATTTCAAGATTCAGGATGGGCCACACGTTGTGTCCTCAGAGATGGTTTGTGTGCATTCGCCGGATGCGGACGGGTGAGAACCAAAATTCAGTCTGACGGCATCATGAGGAATGGAGGCTGCGCGGCTTTGTCAAGTGGCCAAAGAAGATAAGGCTGCGCACGGTGAACTTTTCAGGAAGGTATGTGGCTAGGACCGTGGTTCGGGATGCGACGTGCAGTCGAGGACTGTGCTTCGCTCTATCCTTGGGAGAGGTGCTCCACGAACAGACCGGGGTACAGCGCGAGGAGAAGCTGCAGGAGCAATTTGCTAAACTCTTCTAGTCTTAGTGCCATGGATAACTTTTTGGAGTGTATTGCATTTCGGTTGCTTGCTTGTGGCTTTCGTGTGTTTGCTTTCTGGTAGGAGCTGCTCGAGCTTGTTTTCTGAGTACCGAGGAGAAACCGAGGCCAAGTGCTTCTCCGACGGGACAGGTCTGCCTGCTAGTGTTTCTGCTCGCTCGGCTTGTGGTGCTACTGAAGCTGTGCATGGAGTTGTTGAGCGAACTGCTGCGTGGCATGCTTGTTTTTGACTGCCAGGGGTTTCTGTGACCACCGACGATACGTGATGGGTTGACTGCCATGAGTGTTTAAGCAGACTTCTTTGAAAACCCACATCGGAAGTCTGACGGCTTCGTAGTGATGTAGTGGGCCCTTGGCTGGTTGCTGAAGACTTGGTTCGGGTGCCACTGATGTCGAAAAGTCGAGATCAGCAGCCGATCCGCGACGATGGGCCGTGGGGTGCAAAGAGAGCCCATCTGACTTGGCAAGCTGAGATTCGAATAGTCTCACGCAGCTCACCAATGCAGACTGCATTGAAAACTCCGGTGCTTTTGCAGCTGGAGCAAAGCAACACACTCGCGAGCAGTGTTCAGAAAATGGAGCATTGCAATCAGTTTGCAATCAAGGCCTCTGTGTGACGGAGACAAAAACTCCACCCTAGGAGGCGCACTAGAACAATGCAATGATCTCATGCGCTATTTTCGGCTCAGTGCTGGTGTGAACTGTCGACTAGAGCACCTTCAAAGCTGAAGTGTAGGGCTGAAGTTGCGGATGCATGCATAGCTGCGGTTTACCTCGAGCTGGCTTCGCGCAAAATGCTGGGTCTTTGATCGGCAACAAAGACTGGAGCCTGCAAGTTCCCGTGGGAACTGCTTGTCAGTATAGCATCATCAAACTGCATAGGTGCAGTTTCGTTTTTGCATGTGAGTCACGGTGGTTGTTTGCGCGCGATATCTTGGCATTCTTCATGTAGCTTGCTGCATGAGGGTGATCTGCTCCCGCGCCGGGTCTCCCAGGTCTTCATCGTCACGGAGTTGACATTCTCAGCATTGAGTCGTCGCTGCGCCGCGCAAGGACGTGGACGTTTAGAGCAACCTCGAGTTGCCAGCATCTGCCAGTGTTGGTGCATTAGCAGGGGTTCCATCGCGCTGCATGGGCAGTCACAGCATGGAGAGCAGTCGGACTTGCGCGGACCAACACGCAACAAGTACTTGTTTCGATGGTTGTTGTCGGCAGGATCGTCTTCAACCACATGGACAAAGATGCCATGGAAACTTGGGTGCACGGCTAAACCATCCTTTCTGTGCTTGTTCCTGTCAAATATGCTGGCGCACGTGCCAGCCAGACTGCGAAGGCAGGAGGCAAACGTTCGCACTCTTCAGTGTCAGGAGCCTCATGCCAAGATCTACCGCCGATCTCGATCTTCTCCACCTCGAATGCCATGGTGGAGGGGCAGTAATGACCAGGCTTCCGCTGCGCAGGACGGCACGAGCGTCGGAGCATGATATCGCGATGTCTCTGACATCGCTTGCAAAGGGAAGCATTGCCAGGAGGAAGGGGTTCCAGCGAGACTGTTGGGAATGAGCAGTATGGAGTATTCCATCGAGAAGCTGTCCGAGAGCTTGCATGAGGCTCTCCGAGCGGTCGCCAAAGTCAAATGAATAGTCCTCAAAGTTCGAGGAGCTGCACCACTTTCTGCACACTTTTGGAACCAGGCTCGTTGCCAAGGAGGCAGGGAACATTGCGTTACACGTTTACACATTTTCAGGCATATCACTCTCACACTTGTTTCTTGCAGTGCTAAGTCTGCTAAGATGCATTCAATTCGTGATTCGTGTGCTTGTTAACCATTCGGGGCTGGCATTTAGGAGATTTCATCCCTCGCGAACGGACTGCAACAAACTTCCTGCATCAGAGGCTGCTTTGGCAGAGGCAGCGGACCGCCTGTCCGAGTCTACAAGCACGGCAGCTCGTCGTGCACCTTTGTTCTCTGAGACTAAACGCCGCAGTGAGCAGCCTTGTACGAAGCTCAAACCAAGTTTTCGAAAACGGTGTCGTACAGGGTCGTAGCTGTGTATCTGAGGTCGTGGCCGACCCTCGACTGCAGTTTGCTGTGAGAGTTGCAGGTCCCCAGAGGCTGAGCTCTCGTCGCCGCTCTCTCGTGAGACAGTCGAAACTCAAAGTTCAACCCGTTGAAATGTCTTTTGCCTTCAATGTGTTTTGCAGTTTTAGCCGTTCAAGCCTGCTGCTATTTCATGCTGCGGCCTGGGTCACTCCGATGTAAATCCTCTGGCAGGATCTGAGAAGAAAATTTGAGAAAGCACTGGCAGAGGCCTTGCAGTGCGCAGGGCTATTCGGCACGACTTCGGTCGTCCCTCCTGCAAGGAGCGAGAGAGACACGCGAGGGAGCTCGGGCGCTTGCGCCAGGCCGGGTGCAACTCAACACGCCAAGATCTTCCAAAAGTGCTGGGCATGCGCCCCTCGCAGGCTGCGGACCGAACCGAAGCCGACATGCAGCAGGCAGTGAAGGTGCCTTCGTGGCCGTTCACGATTCAGCCACGTGGGACGGTGCAATGTTGGACATGTGGGACCACGATTGGGTGTCGCATTCGAGTGACTCTACATTGATCTCGTGCCTGCTATAGGTGCAGCACCAAGCCGTGGATGAGCTTACATGTGAATTTCGCGGAAGGTGTCAAGAGGCGATTCTAGCATCGAATTGCTGCACTGCGAAACGATTAATCCGCTCCTCCGATTAGTAACCCCCGAAGGGCATTTCGGCCGGAATGAGCCCGAAGAGGTTGTTTTTAAAGGGGCAAGAGGAAAGCAGAGGGTTGAGACCTCTAACTGTATCGAAGCTCGCTCGCTCTCGCTCTCTCGCTCTCTCTCTCTCTCTGTCTCTCTCTCTCTCTCTCTCTCTATCTCTCTCTCTCTCTCTGATTTTAAGTTCAGGGATTATCCCATCCCGAGACCTTACGATTGCAAGAGCGAGCGTGTACAACAACGTGTGAGTTGAGTTGCTTTCCACAGAGTTTAGGTTTAGGGAGTTTAGGGATCACCCCAGTATCCGAAACCTTACGATTGCAAGAGCGAGGCTGTACTGGCACTTATGAGATGCACTCAAGGTGCATGTCGATGTGTCATTATAGTGCTTCAGGAGCCGGTTCACGCTGCCCTGGGTCTTGAAGTCGTCGGGGTCCAGCTGTGTACATCAGCTGCACCAGCGTGCTTTGGCCGTGCTGCAAGGCCTTCTTGATGACCCGGGCCGCCAGCAAGGGTCTCTCGTCTTTCTTGGTGGCATACAAAGTCCACTTGATCTCTGTCACAAAGTGGGGAATGACATGGGCTTGCCGTCCCACATCGGGACTGAATTCCAGTCCTCCTTCCACGGCGCAGTGCCGTCCTGGCTCATCAGAGATGAGCCCTCCGGCACATGACCGACCAACAGCTCCGGTGCCTATTCAACTCACAGCCTAAGCGCACACAATTGCCCGCATGATTTTCGGCTACAAGAGGGCCCTCTGTGATCCAACAGGCCGCGGTCGGCCTTGAGGAGTCGCCTTTGAATAGGCAGCCGTTGCCGCACGCTGAAACCAAGATCGGGGCCCACTACCCGCATTTGCTCAGGAAGGGCGAGGAACCTCTGAGGGTTTTCCTGCTCCGTGAGGACAAGGTCCATGATGATATGCTGCGGGCTTTGCAGCGGCTCCATGGGGAGCAGGAGCTGGTCTTCGACGACTCCGACACGAATCTGGAAAAGCTGAAGACCTTTGGAATTTTTTCAAGGATGTCCTTGGACGATTCCCTCAGCAGAAGCCGAGGGCGAGGGCACGACGCGGCCGAGAAAGAGGACCCCGACTGGAACCAGGACTTGGCGCTCCAGGGGGCGATCGGCCGGGAGCTCGTCGAGATACAAGGGCAAGGGCAGGGGCATGGACCGGCGGAAAAGATCTGCTGCGAGGCTGATGGAGAAAGGCCCCGTGCCGTCGAGTGCCCTGGACATCATCAGGGGCTGGATGGTTTTGGAGGTGAGCATGGCAACCGAAAAGGCGGAACCGTCTGGGATATGCTGAGACCGCGGCTGCAAGCAAGGAAGGCCCTTCTCTGGGAAGGGTGCCTTCTACAACGACCTGGAGGAGCACCCCGAGGACTTCCTCCCGGGCAATGGTGGAGTGCTGGTTCAGTGGGGCTACTACCAGGAGACTGAGCCCAACGATTGGAATGATTGGCCCTCCAGGAGGAAGCGCAAGGACATCGAGGCAATGCTGCCAGAAGGGCCGTGGCAGCAGCGGCCAAGGATAAAGGATGAGCAGCACCGTCCAGCAAAGGCAGCCGAAGCCCACCGTGACACACATGGCCAGGGCAAAGGCAAGAGCAAAGGCAGGAAGGGAGCCAAAGAGCGGCCGGCAAGAAGGGCAGAGCAAGTTTTCAAGGGCCCGAGCAAAGGGCCAAAAAGGGACTTCATCGTGGGGCCGCCTGCAATACCACCTGTACGGCGGCATTGAACTGAAGATCACCGATTTCGAGACCATACTTTAGATGGAGCAGGAAGTGTGGAAGGGCTCTTCATCGTGTTTGCCTCGAGTACCAGGACATGATGTTCAGCATGACCGCATGTTTGCGTTGCAGAGTGAAGGGGTTCCAGTGCTGATTGGGATGCGTGAGCTCATGGTGATGAATGAGTTCACTGAAAGTGCTTCAGAACGACGTGTCATCAACAACAACATGGTGGAGCTAATGTGAACAACCAACACTTGTTGATGGATGCGATGAAACATGTGTTCAAGGCGAACCCTACGCAGAAAGACACATCAACCGGACCGAGCCCAGCACGAGCACAACCACGAGCCCAACAACGAGCACAACCACGAGCCCAACAGCGAGCACGACCACGAGGCCCACAAACCCCACGAGAACCAGCGCGAACAGCCCAAGAGGACCTTTGCTACCCCGACATAGGCACCTACAGCAGCCAATGTACAGGTGGCTGCCCAAAACCAGAACACCAACGACTCGTCCGACTGCGCGCTTGTCCGTGCCTGATGCTTAAGCATACCGGTTACATGCTTGAAGTGCAGTCTGACATGTCAGTAACACTGTCACGCAAGGTGACCAAATTCGATTTCCCCTCGCCCGGAACAACATGGCGACCGGCAGCACCGATGTGCTTCCGCAGCAGTCCGGCCGGAGGCCGTGGCCGAGGAGATGAAGAACCATCGCTCCAAGAAGTGGGTCGGGCGAGAAGACCGAGCACGACAACCCCCATCAACCAAACACTCGCCACCCCGGGCCAGCCCGGATCAATGGCCATGCTTCGGCCGACACGCCTACAAAGCTGGAGCCGGGCCAGCAGGTATGGCAAATTGGCTTGTGGCGATTTGACGCAGAACGTCAGCCTGGAGCGCCTGCGCTCCACCATCAAGGACACCGGCGCGGTGGGGGCCAAGGAAGCCACGGCACCACCGCCGAGCGAGCCCAAGGACAAGCCAAGGAGAAGAACCGCGAGCGGCGCAAGGAGACCGTCGAGGCCAACTCCGACGAGGACCCAGCGTCGTCGACGCAGCTTTCTCTCGACGAGTGGGCATCTCCGACATGCCGATCCACCAGGTTCCAGTCATCGCCCAGACTCCCAACACGTCCGAGGCCTGGATCAGAAGTATTCAGGCGAGTGAGCCAGTTGGAGGAGGAGGGAAGCGGCCGTGAAGGACGATGGGGCCTCAGCAGCCATCTTGGATGCCTTGCAGGCTCAACACATATGGCAGGTTGCGTGCAGGACTGGCTTCCTTGGTTGCGCATGTGCACCCCGAACCTTGGAGGTGCACAGTAAGACATTAGAACAGTTAGAGAGCGGCTATGGTATCAACAGGAGGGACGGTGGTGAACAAGTTGCTGAAGGAGAGCTGGCAGCAAGCCCCTTGAAAGCTGTGGTTTTCACCATCATACAGGCACGATCCAGGAGCCCACGGCCGAGACGAAGCTCCAGAAGAAGCGGGTGAAGGTGAAGAAGCAGCTGGACCACATCGGTGCCGAGGTGACCGAGGCCATGAAGGAGCAAGCCAGAGCTATGCTAACGCGATTGCTCAAGGCGCCTGGGCATCTTCGAAGTGAGTATGCCGAAGTGGGTGGTGACTGAGGCCCTGAACCCTCACTGCCTAGCCTGTTTGGAGACCCGGCGCGGTGGGACCATGCAGGTGCCACACAGCGTCGGCAGCAAGCCGGCGCCATGGCAAAATGGTGGGCATGGCCGTCTGGCAATGTGCTTAGTGATGCGCCTGATTATGGTGGAGCTGCAGAGGGCCCGATGAACGAGGCCAGGACCGACAGCGGACAGAAGATGGTGGATGTGTTCGCGTGGTCGTAGCTGCAGCACCGGCCCACGCCGGAGTGGATCCTCACCGACCCAAGGTCGTTTTTGGCAAATGGCAGGCTTCGCGGAGTTTTGCGGTTGGATCGGGTGGGGCCTGGCAACCACAAGACTGCAGAGGTTCCAATTCATGAGAGCCAACAGGATGGCTCTGGGGCTGAGAGTCCAGCAACGACTCACACATGCAGGCGAATGCATGCTGCCTTCGATCATAACCAATACGTCTTTGTCCCAGGCACCTTTCGGGTCTTCAGCTTGTTGTTTCGGGCCCCAGGAGTTTTTTACAAGGCAGCGTGCAAGTCGCAGAAGCAACTAGCAGTGGGACAGAAGCCTCCAACAAGCAACCGACACAAGGTGGCAAGCAAGGCGGAGACCCAACCAAACAGTTTCCCCCTACTACGTCGCGTTAGCCTGGCCCTACCCGTGCCGAGAAAGCTCCACACCAAGACAGCAACAAAAGTGTTCACTTCTCGGTACCCTAGCTGTCTACGTGATGCGAACATGCTAGCCTCATCGACGCGTTTTGAGGACCGCGCCCGAGCATACTGACTGCACTTACAAACCGGATCCAACGAACACACACCCGACAACATCCGGGGCCTCCGGCAGAACGCTTGTGAAAATCGGCTCCCAAACACAGCAGGGACACCACGTAAGGGTGGCCATAACATGGGCGTTGCTCGGCCTTACGTGCTGCAAAGGGAGTCAGGGCCACACTTAAGTTTCACGCCGAGCAAACCAAACGCGGACTTTGCCGTTAGCGCTGTTGCGCGGGGCCGGGGAGCCTGCATCCCCAACCCCAAACGCCTGGCCTAGCAAACAAGCAAGCAAGAGAGAGAGAGAGAGAGGATGGGTTTGTATTTTTTTTGGGGAATTGGGGGTTACTAATCGAAGGAAGAGATTTGTTTGTGAGTGCAGGGTTGATTATGGCAATGACGGCTATGCCTTTGTCGCATGAAGGTGGAAGATCGCATGCAGACGAAGCTGAGCTTTGCCTTCAACAGACAACCATCAAGAGCAATGTGTTATGAGGTTCGAAGACAGGTGGGTCACCTGAGTAAGAGGTGCACACTGTCTGTGGGCATCGGTAAGGATGGCAGAGATCGCAGAATTGACGAGGCAGTTTGCTTTGCAACTCACATTGGAGGAAGCTTGCAGAAAGGTGCAGCCATGCAATTTGGCATGGAGGCATCGTTAGTTGCCTTGCTAGGCGACCAGCAGTGCAGCCTCTGCAATCGTCGAACAAATCTTCAACTCCTGGCGTGGAGAAGTGGCTTGGATGGGCTTTTGGGCCGGTTTGCACAGGGGGACACGCTCCCAGGCTCGTGTTCCACTGGTGCGACTCAGGATTATGCCGCAGCTCCAGGAGCTTCAGTGGCATCAGACTGGCATCAGCACGTCACTTGCTTGAGAGGCTACGCAAGACGGGAGCACTGACGTTGCTATTGCTATTCGCTTCGTTAAGTCTTTTGCTTGCTTTTGCTCGTGCCGAGATTGCTCGTAATCGTGCTACGGTGTCACGAAAGTTTACAGGGGCTCCAGACCCTTGTAGGCCGCCGTAGGCCCCGCATAGCTTAAGCATAGCTTGTTTTCGGCGAGCTCCGGAAGCCCAGGTCTATCAGCACCCTGCAACCGCGACTGGGGGCCTGCGAGGCTTTGTGTGAATGAAGCCTTGCATGCATGCATTATCCTGCGCCGGAGGCCAAGCTCCATGCTCAGGCTCGCATGTGGCTGCCTCAAGCCATCTTGACCCTGAGCCAGTCTGCTGATCCTGAGGATGTCGTCCTGGACAGCTTAACCAAGCAGGTCGGCGATGCTTGCAAAGCCTTGGCCTCGCTGTCGACCAAAGCGGTGCCTCGGAAGAACAGGGCCCAGGCCAGCAGAGGCCGAACCTTTGCAAGCTGAGAGGTGGCCGCGGAGAACTTGGAAGGCTTGCAGCAGAAGCTCCTGGCCGCGGAGCGTCGGATCCATGCGTCGGAGGTTTCAACTGATTGCCTCAAGAATCAAGCTCTTCGGCTCATGCTTTCCGACCTCCAGCGGCCAATCTTTCGTGGCATTTCGCTCAGCCGTGCCACCATCGCCACCCTAGGTCCAGCAGCTTAGGGTGCGACCGGCAGACGGAGAGGTCGGCAAAGAAGAGTCTTGCACAGAATGCTTTGCACGATCTGCAGCCATCTCTGTGGTGCTGTCCTTGAAGATTCCGCTCTCCGTGCCGGACATCACGACTCAGAGCGACGGCATGCTAGCTCGGCAGCTGGGCTTCTCGGCTGACCTGGGGACTCCAATTCTGCGTGGACTATCTGAGCCCAAAGCGTGAGGTCTAGAGAGAATCTTTGGCGACTTTCGACGTGGGATCCAGAGCCCAAAGCACCGTCGAACCCACTCGCCGCACAATGCCAGGAGACTGCATGTCAACCTATCCACGGCGCGGTCAAATTTTGTGCCCCTGTGGAGGGAACCCGCAACTGTGAAGCGGCTGCCTTTTCGAGTGGGTCGACACCCGGCTTTATTGGCACTGCTGTAGCCCTCCAACTTGACCCGTTCTCGACACACAACGCAGAAACCCTTTTCCTGCCTGCACGGACATGCAGAGCCACTGGAAGAGTAGAATCAGTTTGCTTGCTTTGTAGAGTAGCTTGGAATGTCGACCGCCTTGGCGAGCACCGTGCAGGTCCATCTGGGCGCAAGGCATCCGCGCCTCCGTTGCAAGCAGTGCGCAAAATCTCGGACGATGCACAAGCACGCAGTCGGTTAAACCCGACGGCTGAGGACAGCGAGGAGGCGCCCTATTTCGTGGCCCAGTCGGAACCCAAGGGTGTGGGGAGAGTGTTGCCCTGGCCTGTACCGTGAGAACTGAAATGGCAGGCCAACGCTGGAGAGCACGTTGGGCAGAACGCAATCCGAATCCCTGGAGCTGCCCTTCGAGTCTCTTGATTCATGTATGGGAGCGGGAAACCGCGACTGAGCGACGGGCCAGGTATGCGTTTGCACAGTCATTCAGGGATCCCATGTGGCCTTAGTTGATTGTGCTTGGCGGTCAAGTCAAGGCTTCACTCATCACCCAGTTCACAGTAGGCACGTTTCACAATCGTTGAAGTATTGCATGTCTACGACATGCTGATTCGAAACCTGCCAAAGATTCCGGACAAATTCTGGAAGCAGGACCACTCGTTGGATGTCGGCCATCAAAGGCTGACCATGTTGGACGTCGTTTATGCTTCTTGCAAGACTTGGAAGGAAAACCAGCAAAGTGTCTTCAGACTTGGAAGGAAAACCCCGCCTGCGCTCGAGAACGCCAGACTTGCCTGTGTGCGAGCCCTGTGAAAGATTTGTGGTTGCGACGTCTCAAGCTAGGCACAGCAATCGCATCCCCCCTCTGGTGTCAACCATGTCCATGTCCGCCTCCGGAGATCGTATCCGTAGCAAAGGCAGACTTCAAACAAGCAATCGTTACACGCTTTCGTCCCCGCCCAGTACTTCTGCAATGTGAGGGCTTGATGGCAGTTCTGCCAGCCATGTCCGTGGAGCTACCGCCCCTTCCTGAAAGGCACCGTAAAGATCCTGACGTGCCACTCGCCCCGAGTTTACAGATGCAGGCGGGCATCCGAGGAAGGCCCTGGATCACCGGGACAAGCCTGCCCCTGATACAAGGAACTTGAAGTTCAACCTGGAGCAAACTCTACCTTTCCATACTCGTCGGACAGAAGATGACTATGAGGTGCTTGTTCCCGACGCATCAGGCCGTGCAACTCGGCCCCTGGCTAAGCCGACGTTGGTCCCCCTTCCTGCAGCATCAGCAATTATCACCCGAGGCTGACGGAAGCCCGAGTCGACCCGAGGCGGCAACAGATCCCGACGTTCCAATGTTTCAGTGTCGGATTCCGATGACAGGTTCCAGACTATGCGAACGCCGGAGCATTGGCACCTAACGCACCAGGCAGAAGCAGCTACAGAAGCACCCCTCTGGAGGCAGAACATGTCTGCGAATGTTCAAGTACGTGAGCGCAGGAGCACAGCCCAAGCAGCAGAGATGCTCGAGCGGCGCTCATGCAGCCCGGAGCTTGACTGGAAATCTCATGCAACTGAACGCCGGCGCATTGTATTACAGTAGTGTTGCCACATGTTGGCACTGTCTGCCTCCGCAGGATGTATGTGACGGGCAGCTGCGCACCTGCCAAGCCCAGCAAGCGTGAGTGGGCCCTGCGCTTGAGCGTGTCCGCGCAAGGGCCTCGAACGTCTCTCCACAGTCGCCAATTCGGGCCTCATTTTGTGAGCGGAGGAAGTGGGTCTTGGTACAACTTTTGGCAGTGGCTTGGCTCTCGGTCTTCTCGGCTGTGTCGCTCCGCCTTTTCAGTCAGGAGACTGTGAGTATGAGAATCACCAGCTGTGCCAGTTTTTTCCGCCTGTCCTGACAGAAACCATCTTGTCCACTGTCCTGACTGTGTTGTATCTTGGATCTGCTATCCTGAAGCCATTGACCTCGCAACACTGCTGGCTCACATTGCAGACGTGGGCGTGTCGGCGCTTTGGGCGAGCAGCCCTCCATCGCGATCCCATGTGCTGCCCTCGTGTCTGAAAGGCTCAACTTGTGGCCATGCATGTCTCGACCATCTGTCATGCAACCTGCGTCCTTGTGACATGGTACCTCGATGCACCTCGTGTTGGCACGTCCCGCCTAGGCCATGAAGCTTGTCTTCTTGCTGGACTCTCATATTAAGCTTCGAGGGGCATTGGAGCCTTTGTGCTGAAACAGCTCGGATGCAGCTGCATTGTGTTCTAGGCACTCCGACGGCTTAGGATCTCAAACGTTCAGTCATGGCGATCCAGATATTAGAATAAAAAGCAGCGGGGCAGCAGCTGTTTCTCGTTCCGAGAACAAGCTCGTGTGACCTTTTCGAAGCCGGGATATGCCCCGCCGCGGCCTGCAATGCAGAAGAGGTTTTCTCTCTTGCAGCTCAGGTCCCTGGCCTACTCCGCCGACGTCGGCTTGCGTGTTTATGGACTCGGGACGCAGGCCCGGCCTGGTCCAAGGGCCCCTGCCTTCTGCTTTCTCACTGAGACTCTGAGACAGGTCTTTTTCTCGAAGTGTTGGAACCGGCAAAGCACTTGGAGAGTCTTCGTCTTCGTGTTCTTGCAGTTTGTGCTTCTGCAGCTTCGGAGGGCAAGCAGGGTCAGGGGTCTCTCCCGGGCATCTCCACGCCTGAGTTTGAAAGCATCCCGGGTTTGTCCAGTGCTGTGCGATGTTCTGCTTAAAGGTTTGATGCCGCGATCGTGGTCTTGACGATAGCTGGTGCTATCCAGACTCTCACCGAGTCGGCAGGGCACACAGGCTCCTGGCCTGCTGTGACACCTCCCTAGAGTGAGAGTCTGTCAACTAAAGCCTGCAGGCCCATTCAGGTTTCTGCGGCTCTTGCGCGTCTTCAGGTGCGCTCTGCTTCTTGATGTCTTTGAGCTGAGTAGTGGGTCGTAAGCCTGTTTGAAGTGAATTCCAGCATGTTCCCCATCGAATCGTGAGCATGGCATTTTGTCCTGCCGTGTTGGCCGGTTTTGATTCTGAGCAGGATTTTGCGAGTCATCCGCATCGCTGTTTTTGTCAGCCATGCGTTGCCTCGGTGTTGCTTCTTGGCCGCGATATAGCCTGCAGTCGTTTTGCTTGCATCTGCTGAACACTCTCAAAGCTTCGGACTTGCTGTGTTGTGGGCTGAAAGTTTTAAGAACCTTTCAAGATGATTCCCTCAAGGAGGCTTAGCTCCACATGTCGCGTTCAGCTCTAAGACCAAGAGTGGTGAGTTCAGAACCACCACCCGGGAGCGCTCCGCAGGAAACCGGCTGTTCGAACTATGCCAAAACCTGCCCCCCCGCACACACATGTTCATCAGTTGAATTTGGTGGACACTGCTCAACCCGCTCACCCTAAAGGTCTAAGCTTCCAAGTTAAAGCCGTGCAAGTGTCAACCCAAATCAAGCCCCAAAGAATGGGGCCATGGCGAAGTGAAGAAATCCGAACGAGCACCCCGTACATTATTCAGGCTATGACCGAGCCAACATTCATCAGGATCGATGTGTGAGACGGCGAACCGCTTGGGTTATGATTGGCTCGCCTGCACGGGATGTAGACGGCTTAAGTCTTAAGTGGCTACACCTGCCTGCCTTCAACCACAGTGGCTCTTGGCTGGACTTGCGAATCATTTGCAATGGTTGGCTTTGTGAATGCATTTGAGGTCAGCGTATGCAAGCACCTCAGTCTCCAAGTGTGCTTGCATCTTCCCGGAGCTGTCTTATGTGCCGAAGATGATACAAGACATCGTAGGAAGACTCTGACCCGATGAGGCGACGGATCACCGGCGAGAACAAGCGGCGGTTTGTTTCGCTCGAGGACAACATCAGTGCAAAGACTGAGCGGTCTCTTCTTGGAATCTTGCTGCCATTGCTGCTCGGACTGTCGCAGCATGTCGCCAGTGCTGCCCATACCTGAGCAGGAAGACTTCGATTTGGATCTGGCAGCTCGGCCAGCCCAGGATGCTGCTCTTGCATGCTCTGATAGCAACCGGAAAGCCTGAAGCCTGCACTTTTGCACGGCGCCTCGTTGATTACAGCCTGTCTCTGTGACGCTGGTGTAGGCGCAAACCTGCACAGCTGTATGCAACCTCGCATGTGGTTTGATGCCAAGGTATACATCACGCTGCGACACTTAGCCGACCACTCTCACGTGTGTGTCATTTTCACTCGCAGTTGACCTGGGGCCATGGCAAGTTCAGACGAAGTTTACCTGACCAAAGGCCGCGTCTACTCAGCATGAGTGTGCCAGCCGACGGATGGTTGCTCCTTCCCCAGCCTCGGTGGAGAATCCTGCTTGCACCTCTTCAATGGTTGCTGAAAACCGAAAAACTGAGGATGCAATTCTATCGGAATCCACTGTCAGAGGTGGTCCGCTTCTTCGAAACCTTCCATCCCAAGATCGGCCCTGAGTAAAACATGTATACAAGCTCCGAAGCAAGTTAGGGTCTAGAGTCGAGAACTCGCGGTGCTTGGTGCATTGATGTAAGGTGCTCCCCGAGTACATGTAGCACTGACCTCGCCCAAAGAAGCTCAGGAGCTACCTCATCATCAATGCGTGCCCCGAGATTCCTTACAACGAGGCTCCGCCAGCAGGTCGTGGTCAACGTGCTCTTGATAGAGTGGTAATGGTTTGTGCAGAACTCTCTTAAGAGAGGTGAGGCCTTCGATTCGTCGTGCTTTCCTGTGGTGCGAGGCCGCCTTTCGAACTGGGACCGTGGAGAGGTTTGACGTCAAGGACTTCCAGCGTGCTAGCGACATGATCAATTGTTCCTCAGGCTTGCATTTCCTGTGCACATGCGCCGTCATGAAGGTTGCTCGTGCATCAGCTGTTGTAGCGGCTCGGAGAATGATGCAGAGACGTGGAGTCATGATGCGCAAAGCGCTGCTGCAAGCCGCCATGTTTTCACTCCAGCCAACCTTGAATTGATGCTCCTCAGCATGCAAGATCATGCAAGCAGGCCTTTGCAGCAAGCATGCGCAAACAAAACCATGCCAGTGACATTGTTCATTCTCGCTGGTTGTTTCTGCGCTGCCCACAAGATCCATGGCATCGTTCTCGCCATGCTCCGCAACTCGCTACTTGCGGGTGCTGCTCGTGCTGCTGCTGGAACGAGTGAGATGCAGGGCCGCACTGCACAGCTGTGTCTGATTATGCGTCTGCGATCCCGATTTCACATTCGGAAAGCTTGCATTCTGCGAAGTCTACCGCATGCACGGTTTGTTTCGATTCCGGCCTGGCATGCTGCACCCATAAGGATACATCTCGGCAGGCGATGCCGAAGATGCCAAGATTACCTGTGCACATCTTCAACCGCAGGTGTGTTCTCATCGAGGACCCCGGGCATGTGGTTCTCAATGACCAACTTCTTGTCCTTGTTGATGAATTCAACGCAGGGAACCACGACGACAGCGAGCTTCAGCTACTCAGTGCGATGAAGATGCAGGATCTTCTTAACAGCAGGCACAGCATACATTGTGCGACTTGGCAGCATTCGTCAACATCATCAGCTTCTTCTTTCTGTTTCTTTGAGATAAGGACAATCTCGCAGGTAGATAGTGGGTCGAAGGCCTGCGGGGTCCGGTTACCGGTTGCTGCACACTCGGCCCGGAAATACACCTGGAGGCAAAGCAAGCCACACCTTGCTCTGCAACCACCAGAATCCGAAAGGAAAGGGTGCACCAGACGCCTGTGCTTCGTCTGAAAAACCAACGTTTGGAGTGTGAGAGTTGCGGAGATAAAACCTTTATTTTGGAGCACGGCAAGCTCCCCAAGGTCTTGACCTCTGTGTGCAAGTTCTCCAAAAGGGTCCCTCCAAAGCAGCTCTCTCAAATCCCTTCGTTGAGGAAACGTCCCTGTTTCAGGTAGCCACTGGCTGAGGTATTACCCTCCAAAAGCCGTTCTGCGGCCCAAGATTTGAGGTTTATCCTCAAACGCAGGCGCCTAAACGCTCACCAGTGCACCGAGGTAACCCTCGCATGGCAAGCCCGGAGAGCGAGTTATCCTCGACTGGAGGTAACCCCTCGCCTAGGTAGGCAGAGAGTGTGTTATCCTCTCGGGTAGGGCAGGAAGTGTCGTGAGCCTCTGGCAGCTCGAGCTGTCCAAAGGGAGTAAGTAAATCTTCGGCTGCCGACTGACTCCAAACCTGTTTTGCAGCACGAAAAGTCCGCCCCCGAAAAAAAGTAGTAGTAGTAGTAGTAGTAGTAGTAGTAGTGCTAGTGTAGTAGTAGTAGTAGTAGT